TCACGTGTTCTTTTGTAACCTAGAGATACATTATTTGCAAAATGTGCTAATTTGCTTATTCTTTCTTCAAAACTCCCGAAAGAAACACTAGATGAAAAATCAATTCCTCCCGGACAAAGTGAAACTTTAATTTCATCATCGTTTGAAAATTCATTATTTAAAAAACGTTCAGTTTTACGTATTCCATCAATCCATACAGCAGAATATACAGAACTAAACCCTCCCTGACCAATTTTTTTTTACATCTTCAAATCTATCGAATGGAATCCATTCGATCACATAATCATAAAAAGGAGCTCGAAGTTGGAATTTCTTTATACAATCGTCAATTATTTTATTTCCACTTGTCCATCCCCGAATCATTTGATCAGGATCACATGTTACGCACCATACTGTTTCAGTATTATATTCACCACAAATCTCACACTTCATATTAAGATCATTTCTGTCGTTAAGTCCTAAATGACTACAAAAAGATTTCGCCTGTTCTTTAAATTCATGATACGTACGAGAATCTGTTTCTACACCAATCCCATAAAGATAACAGACCATCGTCTTGTATATCCCATTATCATTACCAGCCTCCATGGATTTCCAGTAATATTCAATAGCCTTCTTCTCGTCCTTGTAAACACCGATACCCCAGTTATAACAGAACCCGACTTGGAAAAGACCTTCTCCATCCCCAAGACATGCTGATTTATTATAATACTCAAATGATTTGTGATTATCTTTTTCTACTCCAATGCCATATTGATATTGCCACCCTTTGTAACAATATTCTTCAGCCAAAGATTTCTTTTGAATAGACATCGTGATAATACCTTCACTTAAAATTTTAAATTTTTTTTAAAATAATATCGATATCTTATTAACATATCCAAATAGCAATTATATTCTAAACTTCACTCGCATTTTTATTTGTACAACTAGTGTATGATTATGGCCAAATCAATAGATTAATTGCGATTATAGAGTTTTTAGATTGTAAGAATTTGAAAGAACAACATTTAATATTTAGGGTTAAAGTTAAGATTAGGCGTTTTATAACAAAATTAGAAGGTTTTTACATATAAAATGTTACACTAATTTTGTGAGATAATTTAAGAGTTTACCGTTACGCAACTCATCCGAAATAATTTATCCGCACGTGATCAGATCTCATCAAAACAATCGAAGATTTAAAGCATTAAAACCTTATTGTTAGGGTTAGTTTTGGGTAGGGAAGCATCTAATATTTATGTACTAAAATTGCGCAAGGAATTTTTTTTATTAGAGCGCTGAAGACGGTTTAATATACGAAAATTTGAGTTATTGACGATTTTTTTGAAGAAACGTGAATTTCACGTTTCACTGGTCTTGTGATTTGTTTGGTCACCATCACGTGCGGGAAAATTTTTTGGGGGTGAGCTGTATAACTTTAATATAACTTAGTATTAACAATTTCAGACCCTATAAAACCTCGCCATTTTATTAATTTTATTACTAGTATAATGGCACCGAACTAATCACAAGCATGTTGCGAAATGAATCAACACAAAGTCTATCATTGGGGAGTTCTGAAGTTATTTTTTTTTATTTAATATTCCCTTAAGCTGAATGTAGAAACAATCCATTATTTTAATATTATTACAAAAATCGATTATGTCGTACAATTAATGAAAAACAATCTGCATCAGTATCAATAAACAAGTTAATTTGAACATTTCAAGCAGCTAACTTGGTTTAAATTTTATTTTTTGTATAAATTAAAAAATAAAGTTAGACTATTTTTGTCGTATATGTATGCTACATTAAATAACAACGAAAAACTTATTTTATACTACGTATATGTCGTTGAACATGAGTCTGAAGCCGCTGAACTCCATGAACTTGGGTAGAACTATCAAAATGGCATTAAAGTCGAGAAAGACGAGCATGTGGCTTTTGAATACTATAAAAAATCTGCAGATATGGGATATGCAACTGCAACTTTCGATGTTGGATATTGTTATTCTAATGAAATCGGAGTTGAAAAGGATAAACAAAAAGCATTCATTTATTATCAAAAATCTGCAGAGAGGGGAAACATATAATGTTGGATATTTTATGATGAAGGAATTGAATTGAAAAGGATAAACATAAAGCATTCATTTATTATTAAAATCTACTGAGATGGGGGGGTGTTGAAAAGGATGAAAATAAAGCATTTAAATATTTTAAAAATCAGTGGAGATGGGTCATATTTTAATGCACTTTCACAGTTGGTGAATGCTCACGAAACGGAATTGGTGTACCAAGAGATATACAACGAGCCAATCATTGGTATCGAATGGAAAGAGGTATAAAAAAAACAACC